ACTGAGACTCCTCACTCTGAAGTGTGACCATTCCATTCCATCCCCTTGTTTCTGCAGGTCAGGCTCAAGAAGTAGGACTCAGAGTGATTCAACAATTTCATGCTTTTTGTTGTTGTTTTTGGTCAGAAAGTCTATGGAGATGTGTCAGTATGGGATCAAATCAGCCCTTCTTTCCTCTGAAAGCTTTTGAGACAGCACTAAGCAGTGGAAAAGCTTGGCAGTACAATGTGTGTCCAAGAATCAGGCACCTGAAATGCAGCATAAAGCCCACAGCTTTGTCAACTTTATCTTTTATATAAAATGGCAGTGAATTGTTCAGGAATGAAAATCTATTACTATTTTTACTATTATTTATTAATTAATTTATTAATTTATTAATTTATTATTATTATTATTATTATTATTATTATTAAATGATACTTCCTCTCTGAAAAACCATTGTTTCTTATCCAATGCCACAAGCAATACTTTTTTGAGTACATATCATATGACAAATCTCTGTCAGGCAGTGTCTTGTTCATCCAGCTGTGCTCTACCAAAGATTGTTGTTAGATATGTATTTGCCTCAGCCTCTAACAACACTTGTCAATGATTTTTTTTCTCTTTGTCCTTGTGATGACCTGAAAACCTGAAGAGAGATTAAATCCAAGATAGCATATAAGGACTAGATTAAAAAAAATAATGAATGAGAAATGCAGGGAAAGACTGTGAGGAAACTACAAAAATTCTACCTTGCTGTATCCAAAACTTAGTGCTGTGGGCACTGTTGAGCCCCTGTGTCCAGATGAGCACCCTGTCCTGATTGTGATGCTGTTTTTGGGTAAGATCCTTCTTCCTTCTCCTGGGTCTCTTTTGCAAAGACAGCATGGCTGCACAGCACGGCAGAAGTAATTAATAGTAGCTAGTTTGTCCACCTGGGGAAAGCAGGGTCCCAGAGCAGACTGTGATGCTTGCTTCTCTGACAATCATTTGAAATTACTGGGCAAAGCTGATTCTGAAATTTCCAGTTGGCTCGTTGATACCTGGTGCTTGTACAGAGGTGCTGAAAAAGAAAGGTTATACCTCCTCTGAGACCATATTGGGGCTGCAGTCCCATGTATCCAAGAACATGGGTGTGTGCAGCTGACGCTGTAGCAAACCTCTCGTCCACCTCATCCATGCAGGACCAGGACCTTTGAGAGAGGGCCAAGGACATGAGCTCCCTGACGACAGCTCTTGCAGAGGTACAGCTACAGAAGGGGGGGTGGTGTTCTGACCTGCTTTTGAGGACATTTCCATATATGCGTTGTCTAGGGTTTCTGGGGAGCTCAAGGGGTGTATTTGCTGACCGTGTGTCTTTTCCCCTAGAAGTAGGGCAGCTCTTCACAGTCCCCAGCCTCAATCTGACATAACTTGCTAACCCACACTGGTTCTGCTTCTCCTCTCTAGAACTAATTTTCTGCACAGGTTCAGCGTGTTGAGTTAATTTTGTGTTGTGGTCAGTGGGGGATTTTTTGTGGTTTTGGCTAGACAGTTGTTGTGACTTGACCACTACTTGTCCCATAGCTCCTAGTCATCTTTAATATTGCTTTGCTTTTGTGACATTCATGTGCTCTCCACTGCCTTATGTGCAAGCCTTTGACTTTTTCTGAGTAGGGATTGCTTTTTGTGGTGTTGTCTGAATATCCTGCTAAGTTCCCTCATTGAGGCCTTGCATACCACTGCAGAGCGTTGACAATATTAATGAACTCAGCAGAAATAGCAATACTGCAAAAGGGAAAACAGTCATTAGTTGTTTTTAAGACATGAGGGAAAGAGTATCAAAGTGAGACCGTCAAGACCAGTGCAAAGATGTCATTCCCAAGATGACATTTTCCACCTATGTGGTACTTGCTGTAAAATACAGTATCTCAAAGATGAAAATAAGCTGCTTGAAGTATGTTTTTGGTCCCACCTCTGAGAGTTGAGATTTGCTCCAGTTCATGTTCATGCTGCTCTTTCTCAACTCCAGGCAGTTTGTCTCCCCTCTCCTCGACCGAGGGGCTGGATTTTACAGGAGGATCCTGTAAAGCACTAGCAACGAGCTATCAGCTCCGCTATCTCCCAAAGGCTGTGTAACTCTTAGCGTACAGAACCATGCCAGGCTCAGAGCACTTTGTTTGCCGGACTTTCCCGAGAGCTTTCCCCCATTACTGAATGTTCCCGATCAGGGCAAACAATGATATGTACAGTGCGAAGGGAGATGCCGGGTGGTCAGGATAATTCGGGAAAGCCCTTTGGCGCTCCTTCCCCGCTGGAGCCTCGGAGGCGAAACTCATCTTCCTGGAGCGCTTCCAGCAAAGCAGGGCCGGGCGCAGGAGCTCCGGAAGGCGGGTCGGCCCCGGGAAGGCGGTGGCGGCGACGCCCGCCCCTCTCACCTGGGCACCCGGGACGGAGCGCCGGTTTTGCTCCCTTCCGCTCCTCGGAAGATGAACGGGCCGGGGAGGAAGGTAAGGGGAAGCCGGGCGGGTCAGGGAGTGGAGGGGCGATCCCCGGGGCTGACCCCTGCTCCGGGGCGCCCGAAGGCGGGACACGGCGGCGTCGAGTGCTGACATGCTGCGGGCGGCGCGGCGGGGTTGGAGGGGATGTGTCCTATGGCCAGTGCCGCCGCGGCGTCTGCCCGGCCCCGCTCAGCGCGGCTCGGCTCGGCAGGAGCTGTGCTCAGCAGTGACCGGAGCCCCAGAGCCTAAGAGTCATCGTTCCCGTTGGTGCGATGACCACTCGAGAGGGATCTATTGTGTAGATATTCAAATATTCCCGGAGTAGAATCAATCAAGGGAGCAGAGTTGTGTTGTTAAAGTAATAAAGAGTGAAGAATAAGCTGCTTGTAAGGAAACGACCACTTAAGTGCTGCTATGGGGGCTGTTCAGTGCTGGCAGAACTGCAGTTGCTTTTCTTAATTTTGAGCACTGTGAAGTACTTGATTCCATCCAAACCAAAGGGTTTGCTGGAGAGCAGCAGCCTCAGCCTTTTAAATGTGGTCACTATTGTCCTAGAAAATTTGCTTGTAACTAGAAGTATCTGACCACTGTGCTGCGAAAAGTTAAGCTCCTCGAGGGTAATAATGCTAATACCAATTGCTACTGCTGGTGGCTGAAGACTGTTGTTGCTATGTGTTTCTATATGCTACTCTTCTTCAAAGCAGTGTAGGAAAGGTATACTGTGTCTCTCAGTATAACACTTATACTAAGAACAATACCAGTTGGCCCATTCTTGACTGCAGGTGTCCATCCTCAGGAGGGAATCTTCATCCCTGGGGCAGGATCTTCATCCCTCACTTGTCAGCAATGAGGAGCAAAAGCCCAGGACTCCATCTTCCCCTATCCTTAGGGAGGGAGAAACAGCTGTGTACAGAGGAGAGCAGGAACCAATGCTCTTCCTTGCTTACACGCAAAGGGGTGGAGAAGGTAGAGAGTGAAGGAAGGCCTCCTGCCTCTCTGTGTGCTCTCAGCACAGTTTGTGCCTCACAACATTTTCAGTGGCAAGGGCTGCTCATGGAAAGGGAACCAGACTGAGTTCCCTCTTCAGCTTTGCTCCCTTGAAACAAGCTTCTCCATGACTCAGTTTCCCCACTTGCAAAATAATGTTAAGGATTTTATAAACTTCTGGGGAAAACTGAGATAACTGGCATTGTCCAAGCCAGTCAAAATTTGAGTGTTAAAGGAAGGCCAAAGGCAAGTCCTATAGTGAGATTAGCAATCAATCCCAGCAAACTCATTCTGTCTGAACAATTCCTACCTGATGGTATCTTATTGTAGGATGTTGCTAATGGGAGACTGTTATATGTAGCACTCACAGACACAGTGTAACAAACCCATGGTAAATTGAAATGGTTTTGCTGCAACAAGTGATTTTTCAAAGTTATGAAATGGAAGTTTTGTGCAGGAATTAAAAAAATAGGATGGTTTTGGTTGAGCTGGAGAAAGGTCATTGCTTTCAGTGATGTTGCTCTTTATTTCACTGTTGAGAGAGTCACTGGATTTGTGAACTGAAAAACACATTTTGCTCTTTCTCAGGCAAAAGAAATAACCTTCACCACCTGTATTTAATATCTTTTTGTTTTGCAAGTGCTATCATTTTTTGTATTTTTGATGAGTAAAAGCATGAGATTAACACTGTATAATATAGATTATCGATTACTGTAAAGGTGGGGATTTTTTAACAAAACAGAGGTATGCAGAGAAGAATCCTATTCTAGCTGTCATGGCTATTATTTTTCTCATATCTAGTTTAACATAAAACACAGCATGTAGTCTGGATAATTCAAATAATTTTTAGGTATTTACTTTGCTCTAATCTGGGTATGCAGCATGTTAGTTTTTACTGTAGTTTAGAAATTTTTTGGACCAATACGAAAGGACTGAGCCTCCTAACTGTTGAGCTTCCGAAGACCCTAGTGATTTTTATTTTTTTTTCTTTTGATACAGGCTTATTTATACATTCTTAAACTGGTTTTACAGTAAATGAACCATGAATAGAGGTAACTGTTGTCTATAGCTGGTTGTCAAGTACCAGATTTTTGTGTCTCTGTAAAATGCAACCTCTGAAGTAGTATATTCTTACTGCAATGAACTGGGATTTAGAGATGTTACTTCCAATAATGCCAACATAAACTTAGCAATCTACTCGTAGCATAAAGTCTTAATATTGAGGTCAGAGAGAAACCTATGCCTGGCTTTGGAAGGGATATGAAGTTTGGAGGAGCATATATTCCTTGTTTTGGAGGGATTTGTAGGTGTAAACACCATAGAGAATGTATACCCACTGTTTTCTGCTAGAAAAAAACATACAAGATGCTTCAGGGTTCCATTGCCACCTTTCACAATCAGTCATATGCTTAAATTCATCATGCTGAAATTAGTCATGTGTAAGAAATTGGTTTCCTGTGAGCATAAAATTTGTTAGGATTTATAAAATTGCAGTTAAAGCCAGTGAACACTCTTTAGTAGTGGAAAAACTGATATATGTGAATATTTTCCTGCAGCAAGATGACTGCAGGAGCATGACTTGAGTGGTGCAAGTGTGCATGCATGCGTTTTAATTATTTCCTCTTTCTCCTTGTTCAGTAAATTCATGGTTGTCTTCTCACAGGCAAGATGCAGGAAGAGTACTAATGTTAGGAAAAACAGTCCTTAACTTTCCATTTCTTCAGTTCCTACTTCAGCAAGAGACAGTCATCCTTCTCCTCTGCACCCACTCACCCAGTTCCACTTCAGTTTCTGCTCACACTAATCGTCATTTGTTTGTTCTGTCTCTCTAAGTTCCTTCTGAGCCCTGTGTTTCTGAGGAGAGACTGGGAGAGTTGGGATTGCTCAGCCTGGAGAAGAGAAGACTCAGAGCATATCTCATCAATGTTTAACTGAAGGAAGGGTGCAAAGAGGACAGAGCCAGGCTCTTTTTCAGTGGTGCCAACTGGGAGGTCCAGAGGCAATGGACATGGAACAATCTGGAACATGGGAGGTTTTCTCTGAACATCATCAGGGAACTGTGAAGGTGACTGAGCACTGGAATAGTTAGTCCAAAGGGGTGGTCTTCATCCTTGGAGATATTAAAAAAACATCCAGATATGCCTGTCCTGAGCAAAACAATTGAGGTGGCCCTTCTTGTGCAGTGAGAGTTGGGCTGGATGACCCTTCCAAAATCAGCCATCCTGTGATTCTGATGTCAGGCAAAGCATTGTTACTCTACCCACTCTTCTGTTGCTTTTCAGCAGTCCGCATAGTTCCCCATCCTGCAGCCTTCACTCCTCTCAAGCACTCTGGCACTTTGCACAGGCAAGCTCATCTTCTTTAGTGATGCCCATTACCCTAAAATAAACAGTACAGGGAGAGCTACTTGAGGACTGCATTTAGCAAAGCTTCTCCAGAGTTGTGACTTCTGATTCCTACAACTTATTTTCTGACATCAACTTAAATGTTACACCTAAGCAAGGGAAATGCATGTGAGAATGGGCAGATACCTGCAATGCTGTCTGAAATCAATTGCTAAGTTGTCACAGAATTCAGTAGGAACAGGGCAGAAACTGGAATACTGGGATGTTAAGGAAACCTGGGTATGGAGTGACTGATGAAATATCTGATAACTGATATGAGTTCAGAAAAATGGACTGTGAATAGCCAGCAACACAGTTTAGGGTGTGACAACATTTTCACCAAGCTCTGTCTGCAAAGTCAAAATATGGTTTATGTTCACATGCTTTACTAAAATTCTAAATACTGTTGATTCCTGGGGTGGTTAAATTCCCATGAACAAAGTCTCAAACTACATAGTCAACAACTCTTAGATATCTTTTGGGGAACATTGTTTACACTAGTGTATGGGGTTTGAGTGGCATTCCTGAGGTCCTGCTCTAGTGCAAATCTCAGATGTGGTCTTCAGCAGGTAACTCAAATCCCCAACTTTAATTTCCCAACAAATAGTAGAAAAGAAGAGAGACTTGAAAATATTGCAAGGAATACACATAAGTGGCTGCTCTTTTGTTATTAATTTTAGGACACGTTCATCTCCAACTAGATGCATTATGCTCTGAGAGACTGTGAGGTCTCATCCAGAACTGCAGACTGAGCGGCAAGAAAGGCTGCATGGTTGGGTGATGAAGCACAGTCTGCTTCATTTTACTTACACCGAGCCTGTCTTCAAAGTGGTCCTCAAAGACAGCCACCAGCAGAGCAGTGTGGCAGCAGGCAAACATGCAAACATGTGCAGGATGTGAGCCCCAACTTGATCTGTGAACATTGACAACTAGCAGGGAAAACAATTACCTAGAGAAATTTGATTACCAGGGCAACAGGGGCTCTCTGTGGTAACTGGAAAAAGGAAAATACTATGTCAAACAGGTTGGTGATCTCAGTCTAGTTTCTTAATGGCTGAGTGCCAGTCTAGATTTCCATAATTGCAATGACCCATGAACTAGATCAGCAGAGACAGAGTCTAAATGCTTAAAGTCTCTCTAAACTGAGGCATTTTAGCTGTGAAACTTCCGAATAAACTGATATCTAATCCATGAAAGCACTTCAGGAGCATTAAGAGCACAAATAACATGTTCAAACCACTTTGTCATTCAACATCACAAACCTTGCACCAACCATGCTTCACATTTCTAGTATTTTTACATCACTCACTAAAAACTAGGTGGAGAAACAGCAATCACACATCAGGTAACACTCCAAGAGGAAGAAAAGGTGTATACACAAGTGTTCATTGGAAACTGAATGTCAGATAAAATACTTTCTTAGGCAGGCAGCATACTGCTTGGATGACATTACCAATTCCTGAAGGATTTATTATGTGCCATTGAAAACAGAGAGATTTAAACTAAAATCTTGCAAAGACTTAAAAACCACATGTTTAGTTTTACACCTCCTACATAGTTTCACTGAGGTCAATGAAACTATTCACTGTGGAAAGCTAAGAAGGTGTGTAAATCTCTGCAGCATTAAATGTTTTGCTTGATTATCTCCCCAGGGACTGAAAACAGGGATTGGCAGCTATCAGACATCTAGGGTAAAATGGCAACTTGTGTCATTGAATATTGGCGTAATTGAAAAACAGCATTAAGAACTGTAGAACAATTCTGGCCTTTTTTCCTAACTTGCAGTGAGTGCTATGTGGTTCCAAACTGCTCCCTGCAGTACCCCTAACCAACTGACATTTGCTCACCCATGACTAAGGCACATTTTGACTGTCAAAATAAGTTTTGTTTGTTTGTTTGTTTGTTAAGTATGTGGCACAGCTGGTGGTGCGGGGTATTTGTGTGTGTGTATGTATACGTGTGTGTGTGAGAGAGAGAAATGTTGTACATACCCAAGGCTTGAAAGTAGACCCTCTGCCCGGGTCGCGAGACGGCTGCATCGCCGATGGTGATGCTTCTCCTCCTCCTTCTACTCCTCCCCCTCCTCCTCCCCCCGGCTGGGTGCAGACCCGGTGGCCGCAGGCGCTTCGTAAGACGCTGCCGAGGAGGGGAAGGGGCTTAGCGGGTCTGGGATCCCCGGAGGCGGCGCGGAGAGCCGGGCGGGGGTGCCAGGGAGGCGCCGGAGGGGCGGGAGCGGCCGGGGCAGCGCTGGCGGGGGGAGGCGCCGGTGCCGCCGGCGCGGGGTGCGCGGCGCAGGGGCGGCGGCCCCGCAGCCCGGGCGGGCGGGCGGCAGGTGCGAGCGGAGCGGGCCGGCGGTGCAGCGGGGCGGGGTGGGTGGGGAAGGGAAGGGATGGGCTGCGCCCCCAGCATCCACGTCTCGCATAGCGGTGTGATTTACTGCCGGGACTCGGAGGAGTCCAACTCCCCCCACCAGACCACCACCATCTCGCAGGGCACCGCCACCCTGCACGGCCTCTTCGTCAAGACAGACGCGGCCGACTCCATCCCCTCCGTCCTCGCTTACCAGAGCCGGCAGCCGCCGCCCTCCGCCGCTCCCCGCCGCAAGGAGCGCAGGGAGTCCGGAGGCGCCTCCGCCCGCTCCAGGACGACCCACTGCTGCAGCGTCGAGGCGGAGACCCAGACCAGCAGCTCCACCGCCAAGGTAGGTGGTGGCCGCTACGGAGGGTTCTCCGGCGGGACCTCTGTGGGTGCCCGCCGGCCGCAGCAGAGGGAGAGCAGTGCGCGAAGCCGGCGCCTCCCCCGCTGGAGGATGCTCGGCGGGCGGGATGCAGCTGCCAGGAGCGGTGCCCTGGTGCCCACTGTCTCACCGCAGCTGCGGCGGCCGGGCCGGACTGTCACTGCTTCGGGGGGCCGCCACTCCTGGAGCTCGCCTGGGGGGGAGCAGCGGCCGCTGGGCCCCTCGGGCTCCCTCCGCCTCTCTCTGCCCCGCTGATCCTCGCTTTGGAGCGGCTCCGGGGCGCCCTTGGATCGGTCCTGGACACCCCGCGAGCGGGGAAAGGGTTCGTTTCGAGCTCTGTGACTGATAGCAGAGAGTAGGCGCCTCTGGGAGAGGCGGAATAAAATCTCCTCTCGTGTAATTCTCAACTGCAACAAACCCGTACCTGCTGCTAGGTTTACTTCATCCCTTTTCCTGCCCCCGTGTCTGGTTCGAATGAACTGTTGCTGCGAGGCGCGGATGTTCGTCTGAGAACAGAATCACTGTGATGCGCGCACGTACGCAAGTGCACCTTGCTAGTGTAGGGCTGTGGGTATGCTCCCGGAGGGGCGGCAGGATCTGTGTCTGTAGGGTATCAGGAAGGCTTGGTCTCCCTCTCAGTGCCTAAGGCAGGTTCTGCTGAGACCTGCTTGTCAACGTCTTCACTTAAGTTTAGCACTTTAAAAGAGATGATTGTGCTGAATTTTCTTTTTCTTTTCCTTCCCCCCCCCCCCCCCCGACCAGAGTAGTTTTTCATTAACTTCTCTGAAAGCTTTCTAAAAATTAAGTTTTGCTTTGTTGCCCTCTTCCAAAGCTTATTATTAAAAAAAAATGGTGTCATGATCCTACTTGCACCTTAGATTTCTTTTCTGTTATAAAGCAGGATACCATGTCACAAAGTAATTCCATGGGCTTAAACAGATTGAAGTGTTTTGTTAGAAGATAATGAAGAAATAAAAAGTTTTATTTCTTCATAATTTAAAAAATCCAGAAATCATCTTTAGGAAAACATAAGTGAGATAGGTCACAGAAAAAAACACCAAACACCTCCACAATCCACTGTCAGTTTGTTTATTCAAATGCTGAGAAACTTGCAGAATTGTCTGCGGTCAAATCGATCATTTCACTCATTTAGACGAACCTGCATCATCAGTGATAAGGACAAAGTTCAAGAACAACTGGAATAAAACAATTGTGTTTCTTGGATTCAGGGATTTTGTTGTTTGTTTTGGGGGTTTTTTACATTTCAAAGTGGAATATTTAACACAAAATAAAATTTCTTTTTTTAGCGTGGAGGAGAACAAAATAGAAATACTTTCACAATTAAATTGAGAATTGAAAAAAATGTTAAAGTGGTAATTCAGTTCTTAATAATTATTTATGATTTGCTTTACATCATATGCTCTTATAAACAAATATATTTGTCAACTTTCTGGTTATTAAAACTGAAAATATTTCAGATGGTTTTGAACTTTGTCATTGGCACTGTAATCTTATTGATTCAACAAGGCCAAGTACTGTCTGGGTCTTGCCCTTGGGTCACAACAACCCCAGGCAGCACTACAGCCTGGGGCAGAGTGTCTGGAAAGCTGCCAAGAGAAAGAAGACTGGGGGTGGGGAGAGGGGGAAGTGTGAGAGTGCTGCTTGACAGCATGTGAACATGAGCCAGCAGTGTGTCCGGGTATCCAAGAAAGCCAATGGCATCCTGGCCTATGTCAGCAATAGCATGGCCAGCAGGTTCAGGGAAGGAATCATTCTTCTGTAGTTGGCACTGGTGAGGATGTACCTCAAATCAGGGGCCAGTTCAGGGCCCTTCACTGCAGGAAAGATATTGAGGTGCTGGAGCAAATCTAGAGAAGGGGAACAGGGCTGTTCAAGAGTTTGAAGCATAAAACATATGAGGAATAGCTGAGGAAGCTGGGGGTGTTACTCCTGGAGAAAGGATGCTCAGGGGAGACCTTATTGCTCTATTCAACTACCTGAAAGGAGGATGTAGCCAGGTGGAGGTCGGCCTTTTCAGGTGACAGGATGAGAGGAAATGGCCTCAATTTGCACTAGGTGTGATTCAGGTTGAACCTCAGTAAGAATGTCTTCATGGAAAGTGTTGTCAAGCATTGGAATGGGCTGCCAAGGGAGGTAGTGGAGTCACTATCCCGGGAAGTGTTCAAGAAACAATTGGCTGTGGCACTTAGTGGACAGTCTAGTTGACAAGGTGGTGATTGGTCAGAGGTTGGACTCAATGATTTTGGACATCTTTTCTAACCTAAATGATTCTGTGATTCTGTAATTATTTTCTATAGTTTCAGTTCTTTTTAGTAGTTATGGGTTTGTTAGGTTTTCTGTGGTTTGTTTTTTTTTTTTTAAGTTATTGAAAAACTGTTTCAATTATATAGTAGAAATATTCTCATTCTTATAAAAATTAAGATATGTAAAATTTTTTATACAATTTTTAAAATTGAATTAGAGACTGCATTCTTAGTGCCAATCTTGGCACAATTTCGTACAGGTTGTCTGACTAAAGCAAGGTTGGACTGTTACAGAACTATCATAAAGGCAAAATCGTACATGATACCTGATGGGCTATGAGAAGTGGAAAAGTGTGGAAATACATTTCTCCAGTAGTATATGATAACAATATTTATTTCCACAGAAGTTCAAAATGAAAGAAAATATTTATTTTGGTACAGAAGGAGTATCTAGCAATACTACGTGGTTTTAACTGTTGTATTGCTTAGTTGCATGTATCAGCCATATTTGATATTCCATACCATGTGGTGTCATGCTCAGTATGTAAAGTGGGGGGAAGAAGGAGGAAGAGAAGGATGTTTGGAGTGATGGCATTTGTCTTCCCAAATCACTATTACATGTGATGGGGTCCTTCTCTCCTGGAGATGGCTGTCCATGGGAAGCAGTGAATTAATTCCTTGTTTTGCTTTGCTCACATATGTGTCTTTTGCTCTGCCTATTAAAGTGTCTGTATCTCAAGTCACGAGTTATTTCACTTTTACTCTTCAGATTCTCTGTCCGTCCTGCTGGTGGTAGAGTAAATGATAGCTGCCTGAGGCTCAGTTGCTGTCTGGGGTTAAACCACTACAAAATCTTATCTAACTCTGTTCAAGGGACAAAACAACGGCCAAATGGCTGTGAGCACTGTTATGTATTAATATAATTTTCCAATTGTGTAACTGTTTAACCCACTTAAACCATGCTGCTTGGTGTTTTGTGCTCTAAACTGATCTTTAATTGTTTACACAATCAAGTATTGCATTATTTACATTTGACCCTGTCTTTATACAATGTTTTAAAACTAATCCACACCATAATATGAAACAGGCATTAAAATAAGTCAACTTGCAATGATTTGAACCCTATTCAATTTAAATAAAAAGACAAAAAGGACCCCAAACCAAAACCAAACCAAACAAAACAAAAAAAAGACAAAGCCAAAAAAAACCCCAAACACACAATGATCCCATGTCAGTTAGAATATATGACTTATCTAAACCTTACTTTTAAAGTCTGTCTGATCTGTATTCATTTGGTGTGAGATAGTGATACAAAGACAAGGGTATTTTGTTGTTTCCTTTTCTTCTCCTTTCCTTAATGACAAGTTCTGAACTTTCAGAGCCATAAGACGTGTTGGTCCCATCCTGCTCACAGTGGTTATGAGTAACCATTCAGCAGTTCTGGTGTGTGTGTGAGTTTCTTTGTGGATTGAAAGCTTGGTAACTAATATCTAAAGCTTGCTGACAAAGATCTCAAGTGGACTTGTTAAGTATTAGAAGATGCATCTGCACCCTGATTTGGAAAAGGACCCACGGTTTCTGGTGCCCAGCTATACGCTGTGTTACTAAGGTACTTGGTCAGAAGCACTCAATTAAAAAACAGACATTCCTTGCCCATGTTCCTTCCTTAATAAAACTAAACAGTATCAAAACAAAGAGTATTATATCTCAAACCTTACATCAGCTTTATATAAAGATACAAGGCATTTAGCTTACATCACTGAAGCATAGCTTTGAACATGGAAAGATGCTAACTGTATAAAGGCTGATTGACCTATTGCTCAACTATTGCTGGTTCTGAAGTGCAACAGAACCAGCAAGGTTTAGCAAGGAGTAAACAGTTTCTTAGACACTTCCTTGGAGATTTAAAAAGGTAAAAAAAGTTTACCTTATCTTTGTTTACAAGTACATCTTTTAATTATGGCCAAATCTTAAGCAGAAGTGTGTGAATAGATTTTCCTTTCTTGAATATCTTGAGGCTTTGGCATTAGCCAAACTTTAAAAACTACAACAACAGACAAGTTTCAAAGTTCTTGTAAGCTAGATGGAAAAAACCCCCAAACCATCTGCAGTCTTCTATTGATTACTTTATCGTATTTTTCTTCTTGAAATTGCAAGAACATCAGGTGTAATGGTTTGGGTTTTCTTATGCTGTGTTCTTTGTGGAAGAGGAAGGTCTGTTTATGAATCTCCCTTGATCAGTCACAATAGGAGCAGGTTTTGACAGTTTTCAGGCTTTTTATAGCAAAATGTTTATTAGAAGCAAAGCTCAGAAATAAGAAAAAATACATGGGACAGTATCTCTTACCAGCATTGGTCTGTGTTAAGTTCCAAGGTGGAAGTGTTGGAGTGGGTATATCCTTCTCAAAATGTCAAGAACCTATCTTTTACAATTTTTTTTTCTATATCTGGGGGAATATGTAAAAGAATGCAGCTGCCAAATACAAACTGGAGAGCATTGAGAAATCCAGGTACTGAGAAAGTCGCATCAGGTCCATGGGTACCAGAGAAATGCAGTCATAAGCATTGCCTTGATTTTGAGTACAGTTCTTCTCTTTAAAGCAGGAGTAAGAAA